TCTGAAATGTACTGATTGGTTCACTGAGTTGGCCACAGTCCTTTGGAAAGCGATCAAAAAAAATTTTGTTTGAGAAGGTAAAAACTCTGCCACTACTTAGCCATAAGATCTTACACCAAGTTACCCAGCCTCTCTGAGGATGTTTCCTTCCCTGCCAAAATAGAGGTATGGAAATCTACCTTGCAGGGTTGCTGTGTACATACCGGAAATAACATATGAAAAGTATCTGGCATGTGGAAGTTCATTGAATGGAAGATGTAACTTCTATCCTAACTGAAATAGTTAGTTTATCTGGTTGGCAGGGTACTAGATAATGACCCTAAAAATGTTTTAACTTGGATTTTAAATCCAGTTAACTCTTGTATTTAAGGAATTGTAGGCAGTGTATTAAAAACTCGCCCCTCTCCCAGAACTTTAACAATACCACAAGCAAACTTCATGTTAAAATTTGCTCATCAATCACCTTACTCTTTTATTTATTGGAACTCCTTTCCACAGAAAATATTTGACAAAAGTCGGAACAGACTTTCACTTGTCTCAAAATACTACTTCTTGCACTGCAGAAAATACTGAATATTTACTACAAAATACTTTGATGGAAATTACAAAATGGACAGTTCATAAGCAGTTTGCAAATTCGATACGCTAATCTGAAACTATCATTCCAAAATAAATATCTTACTGTTTGCCTAAGAACAGTTGGTTCTTGGGGGACAATATTCTACCATGCTTGGGGGATAATATTCTACCATGACGAAAAACCCGTTGGCGTATTTAAAGCCAATTAAAGAAGGATTTCAATGTTCAATTCGGAGTGTCCAAAGTTATTTTTACTAAAGTTCTGGCCTTCCCCTCTTCCAATTTTTCCTTTGAAAACACACGAACTGTAAATTACATGCTCTAAAGAGAAGAAAGAGCTAACATGTATTTCAGAAAACGGAGATATTTGCTTAGACCAACTAGTTTCTATATGGTTTCATTCTGCATTAACAGGTTGCAAGCCCGGAGAGACCCATGGTGCTCAACTCTAGTCCCATGTCCCTTCTAGATCTTGACCTAGTGCTTATTTCCTACAGGAGGGGAATGTGGGACACACAGGCTCCAGCACGACCCTGATAAAGTGTGGGCCCCGAGAACCAACTACGACGGAGTAACTTCCCTGCCTGCAGGCGATGAGCAGAGGACGCTGGCAGAGCCTAGTTAAGAGTCACCTTTAGCCAGCGGACTCCAAAAGTAAAAACACGACGGTGGCGGGTGGTGAGCGATGTGGAGGGCGGGAAGGAGTCGAATCACTCCATAATCTGCCTCCATATCCGTGCATAGTTTTCGTTGCACCCTCTACCCTCACAGAACCTTAAATTCACATTGTCCCAACAAGTTATCTACGTCCCCCTCCCTGAAGGGATATCAAATTGGGCGGGAGCTCCCGCGAACCCTGACCTGGCCCATCCACGAAGGCTTAGGACCTGGAGGGAGAACGTTGGGAGCGGCGCGGGGGCGCTTTTTCAAAAAAAGCCGCTGAATGCTGCTTCCTGTCCTCCTCCTCCTAAGTTGCTCTCCCAAGATGTACCCCCAAACCATATTCTCCCAGCCCTGCTGCCGCCAGTGACCTCAGGGCTTCCCTTTGGCCTCCCACTCGGGACTTCCTCCTCCGGCTCCGCTAGGCCCCAGGACCCGGCGGCACGCACGGCGCTCGGCCTGCAGGCCCCGCCAGGCAGGCGGGCAGCGAGGTACCATCCTGGCCCATTCCCGCCGCCATTTTCCGGCCACCGTCGCCGCCGCGTAAAGGGGACCATTCCGGAGGAGGAGACTGCGCAGGGGCGCACCGGTCTCCACCGCAGCGCGGGGGGGGGGGCGGTGTGCGCCGGCACTGGGAGGAATCCTTAGGATCTCTGAAGCCTCCCCTCGCTGGCCATCCTGTCCCAAGCTAAGGGCTCCTACCAGGCCTTACCGAGAAGCCCCTGGCCTCACCCCAGCGCCCGGCGCCTCTACTTACGCGGAAAAATCCCGCGTCCATCTTGCCGCCTCGCTCGGAGATCGCTCCCTATCCCAGGATACACCGCGCCGCCGCGACGGAGGGCGGGACCGGCGGAGGGAAAGCCGAGCGCCGGGACGCAGCGCGCGCCGTTGCACCCGCCCCCTCCGGCCGACACGAGGCCGCGCCTGCTCAGTGCGCCGAGAGCCCGCCACGCGTGCGCACGAGCGCCAGGGGGGGCGGGCTTCTGTCAGGCCCTAGGCTCCCCGGTAGGCAGTGGAGGAGGCGAACCTGACGACTGCAGCCAATGGGAACAAAAGGGAGGGCCGTCGAGTCGCCCCGCCCTGCAAATCCTTTTGTGGCGCGTGACCATCCTTGTTCGCGCAATGTGACGTGAGCCATCCTTCGACCCGTAGTGGGAGAGGCCTGGCATGCCGGAGTTCCATGCAGCGATTGAAGAGAAAGGCTGTTACCTCAGAGTGACGCGGGCGAGGCGGCCCGTGTGCCGACGAGAGGCCTGCGCCCTCCCTTTCGTTGTGAAAGTTGTGATTGTGTGGATTTTACGCGTTTACCAGACGAGAGAGGATTGGCTGTAAAGCGGTCGAGCTTGGGAGCAGACATGAAATCTGCCTTGTAGCCCCGCTTGCTCGGCCTTTGGAGGAAGATGGAAGTGTCCAGTAGATGAGTTACGGTTTCGGCGGCCCCGTAACCACGCCGCGGGGCAGGACGCCCGCGAGAGAGCCGTGGTCCTCGGGCTCTGCCTGGGGCTCTCCCCGGCCAGGGTCTCGGACTCCGAGAAGCACCAGCTTCCTCGCAGCGCCTCGCCTGGCCGCCCTGGTGCCTCTGGTCTGGCTGCGAGGGCCTCGGGTTGGATGTGCACTGCTAGGTTTTCTTATTGTTTTGAAAATTATTTTATCTAATAAAGCAGAGACGGGGGTCTCGCTCTGTTGCCCAGGTTGGTCTCGAACTCCTGGCCTTCCCAAAGTGCAGGGACTTAAGGCCTGAACCACCGCGCCCGGCCCCACTCTGCCAGCTTTTCCGCAAGCGCTTCTCGCTTCTCTTTCTTGGACAGAAAGCAGGCGTCCCTTTCTCAGAAAGGCCTCCTCCGGCCATCTTTTGTATCGTTCCCGCCCCCATACACACTCACGCTTTCCTTTTCTCTTTTTTTTCCGCGGCACTTAGCCCACCTGAAAGTATGTATGTGTTTGCTCTCGTGACTGGAGACACTAAGCTGTGTGCTGGCGACATCCTTGCATCTCCAGCTCAGACTTCTCTCCTGACCGTCCCACGTGCCCAAGCTGAAATCCTGATTCCTTCGCCCTCCACCAAAACCACAAACAAACGACCTGCCCTTGCCAGGGTCTTCCCTGGCTCCCGCAGACCGCAGTGGCTTTCCTTTGGTGTAGGACGCAAGCCTGTGTTACTCTTGACTCCTTTTCTTTACCTTGGCTTTCAAACCATCAAGAAACCCTCCCTGCTGTCCTCGTGGTTCCAGGCACCATCGTGTCTTCCCTGAATTGCGCTGACCCCCTTACTGGTCTTCCTGCTTCCACCTGTGCCACTCAGCATCTATTCTAAATGTAGCCAGCAGGGTAGTTATGTTAGAAAACCTTCATCAGACCCTTTTCTCAAAACCCTCCAGCAGCCTCTCATTTCTGTTAGAACAAAAGCCAAAATCCTACCTGATGCCCGTTATTTCTTCGTTGATGTAATCTAGAATGCTCTACTTCTAGATATCTTTTTTTTTTTGAGACCGAGTCTCGCTTTGTCGCCCAGTGGCGCGATCTCGGCTCACTACAACCTGTGCCTCCCAGGTTCAAGAGATTCTCCTGCTTCAGCCTCCCTAGTAGCTGTGTCTATCGGTGCGCGTGCCACCACGCCCAGCTAATTATTGTATTTTTAGTAGAGGTGGGGTTTCTCCATGTTGACCAGGCTGCTCTCGAACTCCCGACCTTCAGTGATCCTTCCGCCTTGGCCTTCCAAACTGCTGGGATTACAGGCGTGAACCACCGTGCTGACCTACTCCCGGATATCTACTGGGCAAACTTAAAGTCCTCCCCACCGCCCCCTGCAGATGGGGTCTTGCTGTATCTGCCCAGGCTGGAGTGCAGTGGCAGGATCTCGGCTCACTGCAACCTCCGCCTCTCGGGTTCAAGGAATTCTCCTGCCTCAGTCTCCCGAGTTGAGAGCTGGGATTACAGACACCCGCCACCAAGTCTGGCTACTTTTTTTATTTTTAGTAGAGATGGGGTTTCACTATGTTAACCAGGTGGGTCTGGAACTCCTGACCTCGTGATCTGCCTGCCTTGGCCTCCCAAAGTGCTGGGATTATAGGCGTGAGCTACCGTGCCCGGCCTGGGCAAACTTAAAAGTTTTTACTCAATTGTCACTGAGGCCTAACCTGACTTCCTTGCTGGAAGTTGCTCGGATATCCTCTCTACATCCTGATGCCCTTTACTATTTTTTTTTTTTTTCGTAGCTTTTATCACCTTATAATGTGCATTCACCCAGGCTGGAGTGCAGTCACGTGATCTCGACTCACTGCAGCCTCTGCCTCCTGGACTTAAGCCATCCTCCCACCTCAGCCTCAGAAGTAGCTAGGACTACAGGCCCGCACCACCACGCACAGCTAATTTTTGTATTTTTTGTAGAGATGGGGTTTTGCCATGTTGCCCAGGCTGGTCTCAAACTCATGAGCTCAAGCGATACCTGACTTGGCCTCCCAAAGTGCTGGGATTACAGGTGTGAGCCACTGCGCCCAGCTGTTTAACCTGTTTTTAATGTTTATTGTCTGTTCCCCACACTAGAATGTAAGTGCCCTAAAGTCAGGGCTTACTGTTTTGTTCATTCATGTGTCACTAGAAAAGTGACACATGGCATGGGTGCAGTAAACATTTGTTCAGTGAATGAAGGCTTTGTCAGACCGCCAAAGACAGGGAAGTGACAGGCCTCCACGGAACAACCACTTGACCAGATGGGAACTATGAAATCACAACACCCCACATCTCCCTGACTATTCTCTATGGTTCTGATTAGTCATTCTGTTTTAGGCTTCCTTCACTGTCTCTGTCTGTTTGCTGTCAATCCTATAAGTGTTGGTTTTTCTGGTAGTTCTGTCATTGACTATTTTTTCCCTCAACAAAGGTGCCCTCTCTGACCTCTCTTGGTTTTGATTACCTTTCATATTTCAAACCTGTGTATCTCAGGCACAGGTCCTCTCTAGACATATATTTTCAACTTCCTGCTCACCTGTTCACTTGGATGTCCCATAGGCACCTCAAATTCAACATGCCCTAAACTGAATTCATCTTCATCCACTTGCCTTCAACCTTACGGTTTCCCATTCTCAATGAATGAGCCCACCTTTCTTTCTATCATGATTCTTCTCTCTTCCTCACACTCTAAAACCAACTCTTGCCTTTTCACCTCTCTTAATAGCTTATGCCTCCCTCTCTTCATCCCACACTTCTAAATTGCAGCCACAATAAACTACAGATGCTTGTCTGATTATGAACAGATTTAGGTTTCAAATGGCAATGTCTTAATCTATATATTGGTAAGCCTAAAATGACTAAGAGATGATTCATATGGCACCTCTTCATCAAGCCTTTTCTGAACAACCTTCCAAAAAGGACATCCTCAATCCCATAACTCTGTCCTACCTTTATTTTTTCCTTCTTTCTTTGCTTTTGGAGATAGGGTCACTCTGTAACCCAGGCTGGAGTGTGGTGATGCAGTCACAGGTCATTGCAGCCTCCTTGATTTCCCCAGCACTTTGGGAGGCTGAGGCGGTTGGATCAATTGAGGTTAGGAGTTCAAGACCAGGCTGGCCAACATGGTGAAACCCCATTTGTACTAAAAAATACAAAAATTAGTCAGGCAGTGGTGGCACACGTCTGTAATCTCAGCTACTTGGGAGGCTAAGGTGGGAGAATCTTTTGAGCCTCGAAGTAGGAGATTATGGTGAGCCAAGATCACAACACTGTAGTCCGGTCTAGGCAACAGATTGAGACCCTGTCTCAAAAAACAAAAACAAAAAACAAACAAAAACCCAAAATAGGTCGTAGTGCCGAGAAGCCACTTCTAGTGAACCCACCAGTGGCTCTTTTGCTGGGTCTGGTCTTTGAATCCTCAAACTCTGAGCCTCAGAAAGCTAATAGGCATCCAACCTTGGTGCCTATCCTTGAGGCACAGACTCAAAGCGTTCCATTTCATCAACAGCTTTTCCTCATTGCTTGGTGATTGATGTTGATGTTTAGGAGTTTCACTTGTTGCTTGTTCCCTGTGTTCTTCGGAATCCCTCCTACCGAACATTTATTCCATAGGCCGGGGCGGGTTTTGTAATTTTCTTGTTTTTGTTATCATCTTCACTTTTGTTTCCATTGTTTGCCTCTTCCTTCCAGCTCTGCTTTTGTGTTTCCTGGATACAACAGGATTAACAGTCTTCCTAAAATACGTCAAAAGTGTATAAAAAATGTATAAGCATAAATTTACCAAGCAAGCTATGGAATCAAACCAATAGCTGAGATGAAAATGACTGAAGAATAGAAACAGATGCATTTGCTCCAGGAGATATTTTTGAGCACATTAGCGAGTATATTATCTATTGCCGCATAACAAATTACTCCCCAAATTTAGCAACTTAGAACAATAAACATTTGTTATCTCTTGTTGCTGTGCATCAGGAATCTGGGGAGGCTTAGTTGGGTGATACTGGCTCAGGGTTTCTCAAGAGGTTATAGTCAAGGCTACAGTCAACTGGGGCTGGAAAATATATTTCCAAGAAGACTCACTCATATAGCTATTGGCTAGAGGCCTCAGTTCCATCCCACAATGATAGGGCTTCTTTGGTTTCCTCATGACATGGCAGCAAATGATCCAAAAGAGAACAAGACAGAAGCCACAATGTCTTTTGTAACATAACCTCAGAAGTCATGCACAATAGTTTTCATAATATCCTGTTGGTTACACAGGTTACCCCCATTAAGTGTTGGAAGGGACTACAGAAGGACATCAATATTATGCCCTTCTGTAGCAGGGGGAGACTTTGTCTCTCTCCTCTCTTTTTTCTCAGTACCCAAACCAGAATTTGGCAAATAATATGCTCTAAGTAGACGTGCAACAAAAATGCATCTTGGTCTAATACAGAATG